TGATACTCTTTTGCCCGACTCGGTTCGTCCAGGTTGTGGTGCACACTCTCCAGGTATTACTAGATTTTTACGACATCGATCTGCTCAGGTCCAAGTTTTATTCAGAAGAATGGCCTGTGCCCGATCATAAAACTCTTTTCCCTTACTTAGCTCACCTAGGTCAAGGTGAACATTTCCCAAATTGTTGTAAGTTTTTGAGACATCAAGATGCTCAGGTCCGAGTTTTTTCAGAAGAATGGCCAGTGCGCGATCACAAAACTCTTGCCTGACTCAGTTCACCCTAGGTGCAGTGCATATTTCCCAAGTATTCGTACGCATTTGCGACATCGACATTATCAGGTCCGAGTTTTTTCAGAAGAATTGCCACTGCGCGATCATAAAACTCTTTCGCCTTACTCAGTTCACCCAGGCAAAGGTGAACATTTCCCATATTTTTGTAAGTTTTTGCGACATCAACATGATCAGGTCCGAGTTTTTTCAGAAGAATGGCCAGTGCGCGACCATAAAACTCCTTTGCCTGACTCAGTTCACCCAGTTTGAGATGCACATTACCCAGGTTTTGGTACGTGCTTGCGACATCGACATGCTCAGGTCCAAGTTTTTTCAGACGTAAGGCCAGTGCGCGATCGTTAAAATCTTTTGCCTGACTCAGTTCACCCAAGTTGAGGTGCACATTTCCCAGGTGATTGTACATTCGAGCGATATCAACATGCTCAGGTCCAAGTTTTTTCAGACGAATGGCCAGTGCGCGATCATGAAACTCTTTTGCCTGAACCAGTTCACCCAGTTTGAGATGCACATTTCCCAGGTTTTCGTACGTGCTTGCGACATCGACATGGCCAGGTCCGAGCTTTTTCAGAAGAATGGCCAGTGCGCGATCATAAAACTCTCTCGCCTTACTCAATTCACCCAGGTCAAGGTGAAAATTTCCCAGATTGCTGTAAGTTTTTGCAACATCAACATGATCAGGTCCGAGTTTCTTAAGAAGAATGGCCAGTGCGCGATCATAAAACTCTCTCGCCTTACTCAGTTCACCCAGGTCAAGGTGAAAATTTCCCAGATTGCTGTAAGTGTTTGCAACATCAACATGATCAGGTCCGAGTTTCTTCAGAAGAATGGCCAGTGCGCGATCATAAAACTCTTTTGCCTGATTCAGTTCACCCAGGTCAAGGTGCATATTCCCCAGGTTGATGTACGTTTTCGCGACATCAACATGCTCAGGTCCGAGTTTTTTCAGACGAAGGGCCAGTGCTCGATCATAAAACTCTTTTGCATGACTTAGTTCACCCAGGTTAAGCTGTATATTTCCTAGGTTTTCGTAAATGATTGCGACATCGACATGCTCAGGTCCGAGTTTTTTCAGAAGAATGGCCAATGCGCGATCATAAAACTCCTTTGCCCGACTCAGTTCACCTAAGTCAAAGTGCATTTTTCCCAGATGGCAGCACGTTTTTGCGACATCGACATGATCAGGTCCCAGTTTTTTTAGACGAATGGCCAGTGCGCGATCATAAAACTCTTTTGCCTGACTCAGTTCACCCAGGTTGCGGTGTACAATCCCCAGGTTTTGGTACGTGCTGGTGATATCGACATGCTCTGGTCCGAGTCTTTTCAGAAGAATAGCTAGCGCGCGATCATAAAACTGTTTTGTCAGACTCAGTTCACCCAGGTGAAGGTACAAATTTCCCAGGCTTTGGTACGCTTTTGCGACATCGACATGCTCAGGTCCGAGTTTTTTCAGACGAATGGCCAGTGTACGGTCATAACATTCTTTTGCCTGACTCAGTTCACCCAACTTGAGGTGCACATTTCCCAGGTTTTGGTAAGTGCTTGCGACATCAACATTCTCAGGTCCGAGTTCTTCTAGAAGAGCGGGTACTGCACGATCATAAAACACTTTCGCCTGATCCAGCTCATCCAGGTCAAGGTGCACAATTCCCAGGTTGTTGTCCATTCTTGCGACATCAACATGCTCAGGTCCGAGATTGTTTACCATAATGGATCCCAACAGCTGATAATATTCTTTTGCCTCGACGTGCGCGCAATATCTAACACACGTTATGGCAAGTGTATTAAAGTGCAACATAGTAGACGTATGGACGCTATCGTTTTCTGCAACTTCAGATGCATTTTTCTTCGAATACTTCTGTCTAATTGTTCTTACCAACATTTGTAAATGAGGTACGATACGCGTACCTTTAACAACTGAATTCAAGTCATCAGGATCATTTAGTTTATACTCTTTCACAAACTGGAATAGTGACTTAACGATTGCTTTCAAAACTATTATTTCACGTCCCTGAGTATGTCCCCCAAGAACATTGCTGATGGCATCGTGTGTAACCTGATGTACTCTAATATACTCACGACTCTCATTTTCGTCGAACAGGAACAGAGGGCATCTTCGAATCTTCATCCTAATGTCATCTTCATCCTGCATATCTATCTCAACGTTGCGAATGTAATTGACTACTATCTCAAGACTCAATGGCTGTGCTGCACAGAAGGACAGCAACGTAAGAGTGTGTTTGAGTACAGCGTTACTGGACTTCATCGCCTCTTCAACAGCTATCTCTGATACCTCATTCATGGATTTTGGGTAAGTTGGGTTCGTTTCTACAAAAATTCTTGCAGTTGCAACTCCTTGGCCTTTATCGAGTCTTTGTAGGTAATTCTTCCATCCAAAATTTGCGTTATTCTGCTGAGCCTCCCTGACATAGGTCGCGGCAATTGCTAGGGCAAGTGGCTGGTAGTCCAATACTAGAGCAACTTTGTCTGTCTCACAATCTGAGATACCAGAAAGCTTTTCTAGAAGGGACCTCGCATCTTGGAGCTCCATACCTTTGCTGACGGAGACGTGATAAATAAAACAACTCGTTGACGGAACAGAAGCGATGTCTTGTGTCGTGATCAGCAACTGACCCCTCGCCCACTGTTCATCTCCAGACTCTGGCAAATGAGCATAAATGTTAGAGATGCTTCTGACGTTATCAACAACTAGAAGCCAAGAAGTGTAGAGCTCGATTTTTGTGCCCATTAAAGTCTTCAAGTGAGAAATCTTCTCGTCTGAGCTCAAATCGGGAGAGTTAAGCGTATTGGAAATGACATATTCTGGGCACTTAAGCTTCCGGGCAAAGGAGACATACGATTCTAAAAAAGTCTTTGGGCTTTCAGCATTTACTGTCATTACAAAGGATGTAGAATGTGGGATTTCATTAACTTGATCGAAGACTCTTTTCGATACGAGACCAGCTAACTGAGATTTGCCACTTCCTGGATTGCCAGAGATGTACAAGTAACTCAATCTGTTCTTATTGGCCTCTCTGAGGTCTTTCAAATGCTTTACAATTTTAGCCACCTCAAGATCACGATCTGCAACTTCGTGAGTAGGTTTTGGCGGGAGGACGCAGAAGGCAGAAATATCTTTGTTTAGTTGAGCTTCGAGCACCTCTAGTTCCTGTTTTAGGTCCTCAACCCTTTTCAACACATTCTTCAATTCGTCGGTGGGGAAGCTTGTCTGATTTTGAATCTCTTCAATTTGGTCCGTGGAGAGGCCAAGAGCTTGGAAGGCCACGTCAACTTTATTGATTGCATTTTGAAACTCTGCATCTGTGAGATTGCCATGTGGCATGTGTGCAAAATCTTCGTTACGGAACTTTCTTAGATCATCCACTTTTGATCGTATAGTTGGATTCAGCCCATTCCCAATACAATCGGAGAAAAGGATGGCGTAAAACAGCATGGTGCAATCCCATTCAGCTCGGTTTCCGTTGACCATGGTGGCCAGTAGACGGTTTTTTTCCCTTTGCTTAAGCGGAGATTCACTGTTCTTGAAGTGCAGACCACTTTGTGGCTCGTCTTTCCACTCACCTAACGTTGTCTTGTAACGACCATCCCATTCCTGTTTAAAGATTGCTCGCAGACCCTCAGCAATGATATCAGTGGTGAGGTAGCAGACCCGGAAATAATTCAGTTGTTCGTTGGTGTATTCTTGAGCAGCAGCCATGCAAAGCTTGACTGAGAAAAAATTGAATATAGTAGGATATTTATTGCCATGCAGGTAAATGATAGAGTGGTTTCGCCAAGTCTAAAGGACGATTCTTAATTAAGAGCTTGGAGGAGTGGATGACGTGGTGGGGGGAGGGGTGGTCGGACCTCGGTTGTGTCACGATGAGATTAACTTTATCCCCCAATAGAACTGTGTAAAATCACAATCTCCCCTCATTGGCAGTAAATTAGCAGTCAAATTCTATAGTCCCACTCAGTAGTCAACACAGTAGTCTTTTGGCTTCGAGTGACCCCCCGTTC